TAGGGTGGTCTACAGTGGCGGAGAAATCAACGATCTCGCTGAACTCACGCACCCACTGACGGTCGCGTGGCAGAATCTCTCGATGGCGCTCCTCCAGAAGGCTGTGGCGGAGTATCATGATAGTATTTAATATGCTCTTTAATATGGTGGTAGAAATGTCCGATAAGAATTTAATAAAGTGTAGCTTATAGTGTAGTGTAGTGCGCCTCGAAAGTCGAGGAAGAAAAAAGTCTTTTTTTGGCCCTCCCCCTGTATGTACCCCCCTACCTTCTGACAGACATCATCAGTAGTGGACTACTCTAGCGGGTTATTCCCTGGTTCCTGGGAGTTTGCCATCTGTCCGTGACCAGGTGGGCAAGGTAGCGATTCCAATCTTCTGGACATTCCCTTTTTTGTTACATTTCCTTTTCGTCGGTGTCACATTCACTTATCAGACGTCGTATGGTAGGTGATCAGATGATGGACTAACCATACCGGTTTCCCCACGTGGGCATGACATCGCTCTAATTGATGATTAAATTATCTATTTGCCTCTGGCTTCCAAGATTTTATTTAGACGGTGTTCAAAAACATAGAAGGGCAATTAGTAAACAAATCAGCTGACTTATGTCGGAAGAAGGAATCAGAATACGAAACCACATGCCACTTTCATTCAGATTTCGTGGTCGGAATCAGCTTTTTGTCGTGGTCGGAAACAAGAAAAGGCATGGAAGAATGTGATTGTATCCCAACCAGTACCATGAGGATAGGTACAATTTTCAGAATGATACTTGAGATTCCCCCCCCCCTAACCCTCGGAAGCGCTAAAGGTTTACTTCTCAGCTTTACTGAGTCTTTCGCTTTTAGAATATGCACGAAAGTCTGCCAAGGAATTCATTCTGGTTACTGTATTATTTTAGAGCGTGGAAGTGAAGTTTGGGAGGGAAATCAATTTTCGGAAAATACACTTTCCCCCGCCAATCCCTCCTCTGAAAACGACCCTCCTCCCGCATCCTACATACCATCTTCCTGAATTCTCCTAAGTATCTACCACTTCTCGAAGTTGCCCCAGAACTTCCCGAAAATTTTCTAGAACTTTCTAGTTTCTCCAAAAATTTTTTGTTGCAGAGTGGGGAAGGAAGTAGAGTAGCATCGTATGAAAATTTTTTTTCTTGACCAAATGCGACTTGCCTGCCTCAGCGACCGCATATGACCCCCGCTGGGGACTTCAACGTACACGTGGTGTGCTTCCAACCAATCTACTAGGCCTACTGTGAAAGTTTGGTCACATCAGAGGTCCTGACGCTAAGATTAATTGTAAGTACGAACGTCCATTTCAACACCATTTCCTTGGCTACCTTGATTGATTGAACCACACCCTCTATCAACTAATGGACATTCCACCCGATCACAGAGAGTAGATGCATCCCCTCCAACTGCTTCACCACCTAACGATGCTGGGGGCGTTTGATTTCCAGTAATACTTACTCTTACTATCTCAAGTCTAACAGTTAATAAAGCTTTGTTGTCTTCGCCATTAAAGGCAGTTGGCACGATAAATCCCTAAGACGAGTAGGATTAATACGCCTGGCAGGACGGAATTCCGCGACCTGGAGCAGGCGCTGCGTAGCGCCTTTTCCAAGAGAGGTACCCTTATAAGTCCCCATCAAGCTACAACATACCGACCCGGACACCCACCGCACTCCCCTCTCCTCCATCCACCTCCCCCACAAATGGACGACTGTACCTGATGCTCGTATTGCTTCATTTGCTAAGTAAAATATGAAGCGAAGGGATTGGTATGAAGGCTGCGGTGCTGCATGGATATATGAGTACATACATACGTGCAGCCGTATCTACCGTAGCGGTTATTGGCAAGATGCCAAACTCGTCCGAAATTGCTTTCTGAGTCATTAAGAACGAAGGCTTTTCTTCGCAGGTTTTTGACCGTTTCACTTCGTTTTTTCGCCATTTTCCCACTATATAGCGCCTGCTAGCATTTTGGGCCAAGTACCAAATTGCCGACTGCCTTTAAAGAGAAGGAGAGTGATGTCACAAAGTACTTCCCCCGCTTTCCTAACGTGCTACAGGAAACCTTTGACTGTGGTGAATGTGCCCAGTCGCCAAGGACACGCGGCATTTTACCCTATTAGACCGCAACGCTAAAAAACTCTTTTGCGAAGCGGCGGTATTGTCAACAGATTTATAACCCCACCGTCTAGGAGCGAGAAGGCCATCTGCAGAATACCTGATGATTTCAAGCTACTACACTGAGTCGTGAAAACACGAGTCGAATTTACACTGCGAGCTTCAGGTATTCCCCACAGCATGAAAATGGTAGGCCTGGAATATTAAAACCCTGCTCGCCCTCTCGCTTCTTTGAACAGACCAAAACTTTTCGATCATTGTACAGATTCTATCTGTCTTTCCATCCCCTAAATGCAATTTCGCGATCAGCAGTGAGAAATTTGCATTGAAGGCGTATTAAGGACAAGAATGCTTTAGGTGGGTGCTGCTGGACAAAATTTTTCTCTTTCACTATCCTTGTCGGCGTTACACCCAAGTTGTAGCGATGCGCACAAACTGGCTAGTACTTCCTAGCTAGCTGACTCAACATAACGCTTCCACTTCCAAGTTGAATCAATGATCAAGTTGAATCCCGTCATGATTGGAACACTGCGCATGTGACGCTACTTGCAATTCCTCCTTGGCCATGTCGTTGCAATGTGGATGCAACGCAGGGTGCAGCGTCGAGGTGGGTGGAATACCTGTTTCGCCATCCCAACCTCCCTCCCTTCTGAAAAAGTTCCTCTTCCATCGCGACTCCCCTCTAATAACCTGCCTTCTACCGTTTCACCTTCCAATTCCTTACCGATTCCTGAAAAATTTTCAATCCTTCCTACAGAACTGCCATTAGTGTGTGGGACAGGCGGAGTTCAGGGAGGCCCTTTTAAGTCTACTATAAGAAATAATGGTATAATGGTGCTTCTGCGGCGCGATTGCCCACACGCAAGGAGAAGGGTATATAGCGCACGGTTACGTGACATTTTTTGGGCATGGTCCTGTTACGAAAACCTGTTACGCAGACGGATAGAGAGCAGCTTCTGCCAAAGCGTCGAAACGTGCTAAAAAAGTAAGATCAAGCAGGAAAGGGGGTTTTTCAAGAGAGAGGGGGATTCCCTTACCAGGGTGGGTGAGCTACTTATAGTCGGTGAAAAGCTGGAGTGAGCGAAGTCACAACGGCCATAGAGTGCCATGCGGACGAGAGAGTGCAGAGAAAAGAGAAGATCGAGCGTCCCACAAGGTAATTGGTTGTCCGTAGACCATAGCGCAAACAACCAAGTGAGATGTGAAAAAAGTCAACAGCGACCCTTCCGCACACATGACCAGAGTAGGACTCCACGGAAATCTTCCAACGATGCTCTATGCCTGGGTATTCGCTTCGCACCAGGAGACGCAGTAAAACGCAGGATCCGTTATGGGAACCCTCGATGCGTTCCAACTGAGTTTTCCAACCAAATCCTGAAATTCAGATGACTAACCTGGCGACCTTCGAGGACGTTGCCAACGCACCGCGACAATTATCATTCAGAGTACGTGTTGACATTCTGTTCTCCAACAGCGCTCAACAGCGCCGAGAAGTGCACCACAGTGTCGATGTGCTTGTCGACTACAAGCCGTTCGATGCTGTCCTGGCTCAATATGTCCAAATAGGAGTAGTTGGCTAAAAAGGACTAGCATAGATCTACGAATTAAAACAATGACATATAATTTTGGCCAGGTGGGCGCTGTCAACGGCGCATGGGACTTTCGCGCGACGCAGACCCCCTCCCAATCATCTTCCACTGAATGCCTCCACGTGTTGTATGGAAAAAACGTTCTGCGGCCAAACTACGCCCTACTAGCATGCCCCGACTGACCTAAGTGATAATGGCAGTACTTAGCGTATTACATAGTAGGATAGCATTAATCAGAAGACCTTCTGGTCAATCATCTGAACCACAGTGAGTCTAAATAATGCGAGAACTGCCATGTTATTCAGATTTTTGTTTGTTATTGTCATATTGTTGTTAGGCTGCCTCTTATACTTTGCGGCAGCGTAGCGTAGCGCTTCCAGCGTACGCCAGCGGCAGTGTCGGGGAAAGGATAGATATCGATCTAGCGTTCCCAGCGTCACCAGCGTACGCTAGCGCACGCTGGCGTAGCGAGGGCACGGGAAGCATAGCTATCGATCTAGCTTCACCAGCGTTTCTCCAGCGTTTTCCCAGCGCTTGCAGCGACGGGGCTAGAGAGGGGCTAGAGAGTATTGAAGGGAGGAGAGTATTTTGTACTGAAGGAAGATCGAGGTGAAGCTTAGATCAATAGCTATGCTTCCCGTGCCCTCGCTACGCCAGCGTGCGCTAGCGTGCCGCTGGCGTGCGCTAGCGGCACGCTAGCGTACGCTGGTGACGCTGGGAACGCTAGATCGATATCTATCCTTTCCCCGACACTGCCGCTGGCGTACGCTGGAAGCGCTACGCTGCCGCAAAGTATAAACGCAGCCTTACTGCTGTTTTTGTCTTGTTATGTTGGGTGGGAAATTATTTGAACTGTTCCGGCTTTACAAATGCAGATGAACTTACATATGTCTGTTGCATTACGTGGAGCTTTAATAATGTCGGTCATCACAACGCAGCCATCTCCGTACATATATCTAAATGAATTCGGTAGTTGTGACGTCACTTTTTCACTTTCTTGGCACATTGAAAATCAAGATCTCTCTGATCTCACTTGTACACTGTGTTTAGTCCACGACCAAGCTGCCCTAGTGCTCCAGTGATTAATACCCGATGCCTTTCGTCAGTCGCATTCGGCAATTGCTTTGAACCTTGCCAAAGGATCTGCCTAAACTTCTCGTTCAATCGAATTAAATACGGAACAACGACGTGTGGAACGTTATATCCACGCTGTGCGTGTGGGTCTGTTGTTGTGAAATGGTATAACGTGCGCGGCATTCGCACCAGGACTTGATTGACTCAACGAGTAATTGCCGCAGTATATTCAGTCAGAAGCTAGGAGATGCTTGCTAAGTGTGGATTTCACGAGAGAGTGGATCTGACATTGCAAGAGTTCCACGGTTTCCAAATGAACTTTGGTGCAATAGCACGGTAGAAATCTTTTTTTACTGGGGCTAAGAGTTCAGCTTCACACACCTGAACCGTTTGAAATATCTGCTGAAATGCCTTTTGAGCAAGCAGTTTTTTTGGAAAAGCTTTATATCCTTTGGAAGAGGAGCTATTTTACTTACCGGCTGCGGTTTGCATCAAATCAAAATTTTCTGGACAAGGATGAACCTTAGTGCTTCATGTGCTTGGCATCCGTTTCACAGTATGGGAACTTACACTTCTCTAAATAAGTACCCAAAAAGTAACCCGTTCTAATGCGCAATAGTAGGTGCAAACTTCAAATTAAGGTGTGCCGAATGGAGGTTGAACCTAACCTCAGTTCTAGAAGGGCAGGAGGTCGCAGAGCTTTCTTCTTCAATTTGAAGAAGACCATCGATAAGGAAGCAATCATTGGAGCTCTTAGGCCTCTGCACTACTCGCAGTTAAAAGGTTATCGTCTCTTTAGAATTTTGGCCCAAGGAGGCATATCATCGCCTAAACTTCTCTCTTCCTTCAGTGGAAACGATGAAATCTGGGTGTGACCCGTTAAATTACGACACGCTATCCATAAAAGCGGCAACGCAAATTAATTCTGTTTGACCGTATGAAAAGGCTCAACTGCCTTCAACTTCGACAGAGGTTTTGTTGCTGTTATTGTACTGCCGCTGATGTCGTTGTTTTCAAAATCCATGTTGATATTTCGAACGCTGTTCTAGAGCTTAGTGAATAAAAGTGAAAATGAATACGGTGTTGGATTCTGGTACGGTTGAAAGAATAATGAGAGTGAGACGATTTCTAACCATCTGATTTCGTTTTCTCGTTTCCAAACCTGTCCCAAGGCTTTGTTGAGGACTTATTGTCCGAGATTCAAGAACCACAATCATAGAAACACAGCAGTACAGAACTTCATTTCAAGTTTTTTTTTCATATTATTGCAGTGAGTTGATGCGAGAATTTCGTTGGCCCTTCCTCGCGCGAGTAATTCGCAGTTAATTTAGGTCCTAGTGCGCAACACCAGCGCACGCGAAACCACTTCGCAACCGCTGGTTTCGCGGCCCCCCCCGTAGTGTGAATCTTCTGTTTCACATCCTAACATAGCAGAGATAATCAAATCAATCATTTAATCAATCACTGTTTCTCGGCCTCACCGGAAGAGCGTACACGGATCGCGTTATGTTGACTGTGCTTGAAAAGAGCCAGGGACCCTGAACTTCAGCATTTTCCCCGAAATCGACAGCCAATTTGACTTAAAAAAAAACAAGATTTTCAACAAAGGCGACTAAACAGGGCTAGAAACAATATCCCTGGCCCAGAGATGAGAGATTGAGCAATCTCTGAACTGAACTGTAGCTTTCGCGCACACAGATTAAAATCCGTTTTTCTGTTCAAATAAAAAGTGTCCACTCTGCCCCACCTCTCAGATTCATGACTCCTTCTCGCATATTTGTGTGCCCTGTGAACGTGTTCGCAGTTTCGTGACGCTGGTTTTTAGAGCCAGAAAAAGGATTGCTCTGCCAGCTGCGGATCCATTTGGCTCGCGCACGGCAAGGACGGTCTTCGGAGGTAAGTGTACAATTGGCTTTGAAGGAACGGTACGCGAGGCCTAAGAAAATGCAAAAGTGCTTGTAGCCCCTCGACGCAGGGGAGATGTGGAGTCCGGCAATGACAACAATCTCTCGTACCAATTTGCTTAAGGAAGCCCATTTGTAAGGATGAGAAAGCAGTTAAGGCGGGCCCGAGTTGTATTCAATAGTAGTACTTCCCTTTTTCCAATATCTCAGGCCTCCAGACTCCGCCTTCAATGTTGGCCTTTCAGCAAAACGATGCTGCCAGACAATAGGCATGGGATGGACGCTTTATAGTCCTTAGGGGGGGTCATTGGGTCCACTACAGGGAATCGGCTGACTGAACTCGCTATAACACGTGGTCTTTTGTCCTTTAACCTGTACAGGGGTCCTATAGTGGCATTTTCTTCACAGACGAGTCACATAGCACCTTTTCTTGCATTTTTCGACACCATCGCCTCCGTTCCTTACTGTGGATCATGCCCATAGGAACCCTTTGGGGTACCATTTATTGCTGTTTGCGAGAACCAACACCTTTTTGACTTCCCATTTCTGCGGAAACTCATTGTAGTTAAGTTATGGAAAAACAACTGCTGCGAAAGTGACGCGAGCATTTTAGAACATTTATGCAGGTGTAGGGCGGAGGCAATGGTTTATTTGCTAGTTGGCTCATCTGCACGCGCACTGCGCTGGGAATCGTCCGGCCTGAGAAAATCAAGAGAAGGGGAAACCCACGGTTCGCGGCTGAAGCTCACATGCTTGTCAGTACTGAACTTTTTGAGCCGCAATTTTTTTACACCGAAAGAGAGATGCATGATGAAACATGACGATGAAACATTCAAGAGATGATAGGCTATCTATTAGCAGACGTAGTATGCAGAGCGAATCGAAACCGGCTGGGTCAAAACGAAGGCACTACGATTTCGATGACAGACCGCCTCATGTCTGGACGAGAACTTTTCGATTTCAATTGAAATGCTTCCGTGAAATGGCGTGACACACCGGATCAATGATGAGGGCTACAGAGGGTCAAAGTGGTAAGCAGAACATAATGCCTAATGAAGCAAGGAGCCAGGTAGTAGAGAAATATGTTTCGGCAGACATGGGCAAAAAAAAAATCGATGCCTCTAATTCTATCCTCGTTGTTTGAAGGAATAGTTCCTCCAAATGAAAAACTTTTAAGGCTCGAAGGGTCCCTGAAGGTAGGGGGGGAGTCAAAAAAAATGAAGATGTTTGTGGTACTTGGCTCAAAAGTGAAGAGAGTCTTGGGAGTATTCAAAGGCATATGGCACGATAATTTGGTACATGGTCTTAAATGCTAGCTGGGATGCTACGGGAAAATGGCGAAAAACGAAGTGAAACGGTCAAAAACCTGCGAAGAAAAGCCTTCGTTCTAATGACTCAAAAGCAATTTCGGACGAGTTTCCCGTAGGCATCTTGCCAATAACTGCTACGGTAGGTACGGCTGCACGTATGTACTCATATACTACCATGCAGCTGCTTCATATCAATCCCTTCGCTTCATATTTTACTTAGCAAATGAAGCAATACGAGCATCAGGTACGGTCGTCCATTTGTGGGCGGGCGGGCCCGGTATGTTGCCACTTGATAGGGCCCTTATAAGGGTACCTTCCTTGGAAAAGGCGCTGCGCAGCGCGCGCGGAATTCCGTCCTGCCAGGCGTACTTAATCCTACTCGTCTTAGGGATTTATCATGGCGACTGCCTTTAATCCGGGTGCCTGTAGCGGGTGACATTACTACCGCCGACCCCAGACTTCTTAACTAAAAGCTATGTGATGCTCTGGACTCAGACATCCCGAGAGGAAATGTTATAGGTGGATCCGGCAGCACAGTTATGGGCGAATTGAATTGATCAAAACTTCACAAGGGTAGGGGAGTCACAAGTGAATTGGTGAGTTTTAACCTGAACCAGTTACTAGGTGGTGGTGGTCAGCCACCGGATCTGCGATCACCGTGAAGCAATGAAAGAACAGACCGGATTGAGTTATCGTACTTCTACCTTGCTTGAGCTAGTCGAACACATTGTCTCAAGTAGGAATTCTCGTACAGGAGAAGGGAGATACGGAAGCAAGATTCTCCTGTGGTTGTAGGTTGGTGAAGGTGTGGAAAAGAAGCTGACGCAAGAGTCGAGAATCCTAGTTTAGCAAAGGCAAAAGACAAAGCTGTGACTATTGTGCGTGCCGGTTCCTGTCAGATACGGTAGACTGCGCGCACGCGCAAGACTTCACGCAATGCAAATGGGCGGAGTGACACATTAGAGACGATCGCCGAAGAAGAACCAGACCAGATTGACGTGATGTGACAACGACGACGTCGAACGATTAGACATCAGCACGTGCCACTGCCATAAGAGCCATATAGGCATGTGGTTTCTGTAGATTGGCGTTGATGGCAAGAAACAGTTCAGAAAAACTACTCCTTCCGGTAATGGGCGTTTCCTCGTTGGAAGCAGCAAGAAATTCTATTCGGAACTGATTTCTTTCAGGTAACATAAGCATCTAGTTCGAGTGCTATAGCTCAGAGGGGCAAGAGGGCAGCAAACACTTTTTGGGATGCGACATGCATTCTACTTTCAATCAGAATCACAGTGGCTTAATTAGTAAGCTCTGGCCTACATAATGAATGTGTGTGCAGCCAATGTAGTTTTCGTATCCTCTCAGACAGATCTCATACAAATTTAACCCCTCCAAGAGGGAGGAGGCTTGGTTGGCAGGCGGGAACCGATCCGTGATTTGACCTACGAACCGTTCGCGTGGTAAGTGTGCCTTTTCTCTGCACACCTTCTTTTCCTTCTCAGGGAACTGTACATATTCACAGTGGTGAAAAGAAGGGTCAGAGCAGAGCCTCATTCCATGCTTGGTTGTATGAGCGGTTGCGTCCTTCAGATTGCATGTTAAATTTGTCCTCCGCAGGCGGCCCAGTCAGGAGTTTGGTTACTGTTGCCCTTCTCGTCTTGGAGCAGTGCAACGATGCTAGTCACGCCGTGCGATTAGTGTGGAATGTGCCCTCCTCGAG